CATTTTCTGATATTTCAAACAAAACGACGAGGGGACGAAGGGAATTTCATTTCGAGACACCGAGGCAAAATTAAAATAACTTCATAATTTATTAGTATTGGGTGTAGATATTCCCCACTTACAATTAGTCGACGTGCATTGATTTCTTCGTTCGGTCCCCCACAAAGGACAAATTCAACAGGCTCCACTACCTTTAGGAGAGGCACCGAGTTGCTACTAATGGCCCTCACCCACTCTGGTGGTTCATCTGGTTCAATTAGCGCTTGTTTGGCTTCGCGAAGGAAATATCTTCCCTCACGGTAGTACGGTAGTTGCTCTTCGTTGTGAAGTACGGGGAAAAAGTACTGTTTACGGACGTGGAGTGGTCGCTAGCATTCAAAAGTAGGCGAGTCTACCAAAGAACTGCGGATTTATTGGGACCCTAGAGAGTCGGGATCGCTCATCAAATCCAAAAGTAATTTGGTTGATGCTAAGGTTCGTGAGAATATCTAGGGCGTGACAATCTTCCAATTTTGCTTGCTGGATTGAGATGGATCTTGAGCATTATGCTAAATTGTACCGTAATCAGGCCTAGGGCTTCAGGGAGGTTTCTAAAATAGGCCGCATCGGTGGGTTTTGACTATTTTCTTTTGTCCAGAAAGAAATGTTGCTTACCTTCTCCCTCCAAGAATATCATACTTTTACTGCTCTGAACGCCAACCTGCGAGGGATGCATTTGAAGCCTCAAAAGTCTACCAAAACGACAACTGTCGGCTGCTCCTTAAGCACACGCTCTGTAATGAAGTGAAACAGAACCAAGATTGCCTACAGGCCGATAACGTTGTCAACATAAGGCCTCGGGCCTCTTTTGAGGTCGGATAAATCGAGAAAAGGACCTCCGAAGCTGTTTGATCACGTATAACCCTGACTTTTCCAAAATCTATCGAATTTTCACAATATTTAAATTTTATTGGACAGAGAAATGACGAGTAACCATCAAATCTGGGAGCTGGGTCTACCGAAATATACCTGTAGAACCCACATGTATGTTTTTTGGCTATCCAACTTCTACGGTTTCCCTATCACCCATGGAACAGCTATACAAGCCATTTAATGCCAACTTTACCGGGGTTTTTTATCGGGCTTACTCCCTTGGTATCTCTGTCCTTTTCCCCTTCACTGCTACTCACCTGGCAATGTTAGCAATTCGCGCGCACCGCCTCTACTTCTAGAACAAACACTAAACGAAATCGTTTGCGAGCTGTCACTGTGCTTTTCGACAGTCACCCGTTCCCCCCTTCACCCTTAGCTACGAGGCTCCGCTGACCCCTTGATTGACATCTTCTAGAGCGACGAAGAGTTTTGCACATCCGTATGCTTCACTAAACGACTAAAGGAACTCAGATAAGGAGCTTATTCAGCCTAGCTGCTTCCCGATTCTTAAAGCTCGCTGGTGCGTGACAATCCGGCTTCTTTCAACAGCTACTCATCAGTTATGTTCAGTTACTACTCCAAATCATCTCATGAACAATATACTGTTCAGCAGCAATCTTCACCCAGTTCTCGGAACCTTGGATTCCCCTCTTACTATTATCCTACCGCATATCAAAAACAGCCAAACCATGCCCTTAGCCCTCGTCAAGCTGAAGCCGTTGAACGCCAGACGCCAGCAAGCGTTTTCACTCAGAAAGACGAGCCGTTGCCGAACAAAGATCATCGAAACGGCCCCGTACATGTGCCAACCACGAAAAACACCGTGCCACAGCACTACTTGACATTTATTGCTGCACCAGTGGGACAAAAGTCTTTTGGGAATTATCCTGAATTCACCGGAATAAGTCCTAAACCTGCTCAAGCACCCCTTCCAATAGACCCTCGCCATCGGCATGTGAAAACCCCCGATATTGTAATGGATTATACTGCAGATGAAAACAGCTACGGTGAGTTTGTAAATATCGTTATTAATTATTAACATTACTCACTTGAAATATCCTTTTAAATCCCTTCCACTTGTCTAAGAAAGTGACAACAATAATCTTATTATGTATAGAGTTTTCCAAAAGAATGAGATTTTTGGGTTTATTTTTAGCTGAGCTCACTTTCCTATCGTCTCACTGTGGACGAAATTTGTTTCCCTAGCGCGTTCAGAAGAAAAACCCACAAAACTCAATTCTTAGCAAGCTTCCGCCAGAGTAAATTTGTATAGCGTTGAGTGGTAAACCTTCGACAGCAGTGATCATTGGAAGCAAAAAATCTTGCTGAACTGAATAATGGGTGTATCGTTACTATCTTAAGGCTGATGGAGACCTAGCACGGAGTCCGACTTCAATTGGAAAAGTATCATTAACAGTTTGACATGAACATTTTCCCTTCATCTGGGTGAAAGCGGATAATGCCGCTTTTTTTTAGAATTTTGCACTTGATGCTAATATTTAGAAGAGAAGTGCACGTTGAAAGAAATGTGTTTGATCGGTTCTGCTCGGAATTCTCGAGCACGTATGGCAGTTGTTTCATTTCCACCAGAGCAGCGCCACTTCTTCATCGGGAAACGTTTCCGAGACAAAACATCAAATATAGGCGTCCTAAGGAGGCAGTGGGAATCGCAAGGGGAGATGCGAGAGAGAGGGAGATAGTCAGAGATGTGAGCTGGAAATGAGAGCGCAACTGAAATAGTGAAATGTAGTGTGAATCGAGAAAACGATGATTCCAGATGAGCAGCCGAACGCGACGATGGAGACGAAAGTCACCGGTCAAGGCCAGCCAAAGCGCGTCGGTCGCTGGACCCTGGCACAGCTGAGGCAGACAGATGGTAAGCTCGTCCCTTAATCAGTATAGCCTTCTTTATTTATGATTTAATTGACTATCTTCGTAGCTTCGAAATTACCTTTTGAGTGAATCACCAGTTTCATAACCGAAACGTACACGAAACCTTCGGGATGGAATTCCTGAAGATGAGTATGAATAGACAGAAATCGATGGCCTGTTAAGGTATTATTCCGAGCCAGGCCGGATGGAATAAGGGAGACTCCCAAAAGTTGATGACAAACTTCGGTACACCAAGAAACACTTCAACTAAAGTTAAAGCTGAAAATCTCCAGGTGAGCGCAGCTTTTCCATATTCGGCTGTGTCAACACAGTGTACATTCGATCATCGAGTCTTTTGTTGGCAGCTTATTGCAGAGCCTACAGCCTACTCTCCTTTCCAATACCTGCCCATTTCACATTTACACATTGCCAATAACTATTCGCTTATCACACGAAGCTATTAATCTTCCCAGCTACTGAAGAGGCCCTACATCCCAAGCATCGTCCTGGGGTAGGCCTTAGCGAAATCATTTAGACACTTTGGGATTACATCAGACACCTTACTGGACAAACACGTGGGACCTGAAGGGTAGCTTACCCTATTTGACCACAGCAATGAAGAATTTCTCGTCTGAATATTTCTGAGCTTTTCACAAGGGTGTGGCAAAGCCTGTTTTGGCGAATGAACTGTTTTTGAGATAAACTCATGGGGAACTTATGCAGCAAAAACTTTTGGGAACGGATCCAGAAACTTTTCGTTTTCACGTGACTCATCATTAAGCCTTCTGACAAACGTACCCTTCAGAGATGTTCTGCGCTATTGATCCCTGTTAAGAGCACTTCAGATGCTACACGTTTGCTCGAACCGTGGGACCAGTTTCTTAACCTCAGCTAACTAGTCGATACAGCGGGAGTTCACAACATCGCCTGCGCTCGAATACGTAGCATTCGAGAACTTTGGTACTTCCGGAATAGTATAATACAGCGAAAACGAAGGGAAGGGCTTAGCTTCAATACCTCCAACTACTTCTCGAGATTATTAACTTTTTTGAGAGGTAACCGATCGTATTTCTCTCGGAGTAGAACGAGTCCCATGATACAGACTGACAATATGCGGTTTTAAGAACGCGGATGGTGGCAGAAGGGTGTGCCCAATTGGAAACTTGATTATTTCAGGAAATTCCCGAAGAGATCGCCAACCGTACCCATGGTGAAGTGCGTCTTCAGTCCGGTACAAACAAATTCAGTTCACAGCGTGGTATGACTGGCTTCGGTACTGGACGTGATGTGTGCCGAGAGGGAAAGCACGTCAACACCAATCCCGCAGATCTTGCTGTGAGTTTAAATGGGTATTTATGGATATGAACCTCTTGAAGAGAGTTGGAACCGCTTAGCAATGCAGTTCCCAAAGTGTTCGCTTAATATTCATTTTTACTTCATCAGAAAGTAGTTTATCAATACAACACACTCGGTTCATCTTTGCTTGAGAAGCACTGATTTCAAGGTATAACATCGCTTACAATTAGTTTTTCACAAGTCCCATATTGGGGATACATTCCAGAATTTTTTTGCGGGAGGAAGGTGGGAAGAAGTCGGGAGTAGGGGACTAGGGAAGCAATGTTTTGAAACGAGACACACACAAAGGATTCCCTAGGGATCTTGAGTGCGTCATGTCCTACAACAAAGAAAAGCACACGTAGGCGTATGATCGTGGTGAGCGCTTAAGTATGTTTGTATACAAGATCAGCGATGTCGAAAGAGCGGAAGCAAAGCGGAAGATTCCATGTTGTTTTCCAGTTTTTAGCTTATTTCAACACCCAGAATGTCTGGAGTGGAAACTCAGACAACATTTCTAAGGCTTCAGGGGGCTCCAAAGCTTTGAAGTATGGTAACAAACGAAAATTGTCCTTCGTCAAAAACCGAGATAGCCATTTTCGTCAGAAAATGTTGGAAATTTTGCCCTTTCCCGCGAGGAATACACCAACTCCGTGAAAGGAAGAATTGTGGAATTTTGAATCTGATCTTTCTCTGTTCAAGGACCTTCCCGAAGAGAAGATTCGTCTTTCGGACGGTATTGTTCGTCTTCAAGCTGGTACCAACAAATACGACTCCCAAAAGGTAGGCTCATGACGGCATTGATATTCCCTATTGAGCAAATCTATAACTGAGAATTTAGGGTATGACTGGCTTTGGAACGACCCGTCGTGAGACGACGAAGATGTTGGACACTAAGCATCCCGAATACGATCACGAGCGACCAGATCAGTCAGAGATTCCGCTCCAGTCTGGAACCAATAAATTCGCCTCACAGAAGGTTAGCAACCTGCTAGCCAAAGCAACAACCTGCTCTTCATATTTCACGATAACAGACAGACATGCCTTTGTTATAGGGAATGACTGGTTTCGGTACATCTCGTCGTGAAACAACGAAGATGATTGACAGCAGCCATCCAGAATACGACCATGAGGCCTCTATTGATCAGGTATTTTGGGAGTTTATATCTTGTATGAGGCTCTTCATTGGACAGAGGGATCTCTTTCCAGACAACAATTCCCAGCCAAATGGGTTCCAACAAGTATGCCTCTCAAAAGGGAATGACCGGTTTTGGACAACCACGTTGGGAGGTAAAATACTCTTCAGCTTTGCAATGTCAAACTTACACTGAACAGCTCGGATTCAGGTGTTGGACCCCTCGATTTCGTGGCAGAACCGCAAGTCTCAGGGCATGGTCCGCCTTCAATCCGGTACCAACAGATTCGCTTCTCAGCAGGTAAGTCGTTAAACTTACAGTCCGCATTTGGTCTGTTGAATACCAATTTCTTCCGCTTTCTCCTATCGTCGCATTATTTTATAGTAACATAAGAGTTACCTTATTTTGAGACTGCTAGGGGGTGAAGTTCGCAAATCGCAATTTTCTAAAAAATTTTATTTAGGGTATGACTGGTTTCGGTACCATCAGGAACACAACCTACGAAGCGGAGGGCGGTGAGCTGCCTTACGAAGCCATGAAAATCTCCGAGACAATCATCCCAAGCCAGGCTGGATGGAACAAAGGAGATTCTCAGAAGGTTAATCATTGTCTAAGCTTTTCAAATAGGTATAATCAGCAAGAACAGAGGCATTGGGGAGCTGAATTCAAGTGGCAACTTGGGTAGAATACTTATCTCCACTGTGCTTGTGAAGTTGGGTCGTTTCAGAAGATGACGTCCTTCGGAGCTCCACGTGACGTCAAGGGTAAACATCTGAAGAGAATCTGGGAGCTCGAGTATCCCGAAGAGGCTGAGGTTCGTTTCAGCTCTGGCACAGCCATCTTGCCAGGAAATAGTAATCAGAAAAATGTTTCATACCAGTAATNTTTCCAGGTATCCCTCGATCGTCTGTAATTGTTGCGAACTGGTGTGCCTTCTACATGTGTTCAATTCTCTACGCGCTTCGCTCACTGACCATCGTCAAAACCAAAACTCCAAACGTGCCCCGCCTCTGTGACGACCGACGGTGCCTCGAAATTACCTTTATATGTGCATAGCCCAGTGTCTTGTTTTGGCCCAACCGCTCATTCTTTCTTCTACCCACAATTTTATATAGTTATCGTTATGTGACAAGCCTACTGAATATATCGTCAGATAAAATAAAGCGGTGCCGCACGAGATTGGTTGTTGCAGTCGCAAAAGTTGAGTACTGACAAAGAAGTAAGAGCCCCAGGAGGGAGGAGGGGTCCAAAAACAATGAGGTAACAGTATCCCACTATGAAGGGGAAAGGAAATGTTGGATTAGGCATAGGAACCTTGATTCTCATCATTTTTATTGGAACATTGAATTTTTGGCTCGAGGTCGATCCGATGAGCCAATACTTTGGGCCAACTCTCACGCCACTGCTCCAATAAACATGAGCGTTAGCTTGCGAGAAAGGAAATATGTGAGGAACAACAGAATGGCAACGGAATGTTGATCTCAAACAAGCGGCATGCGGCGTTATCGATTCCACGACTGTGCGACCGTGAACGATTTGCATACATTGTCCTTAGCTTTGAAAAGTAAGTTCAGCCAACTTCCAAGAAAGCTAGAAGTCGATGAGGCGACTTCCAGGTAGAAAGGGTCAACATTTCCAACATTAACCAATCCCCATGTCGGGATGTCCAGCCGACTTCCGTGGTGCACGTGCGTGCGTAACGTAAGCGGTACATTGTAGGTATGCATCGGACACTAGATGTACAATGAGTCGTCGCCAGCATCACAGATTAATTTTATATGATTTGACTGGCCCCAGGGTAACGGAGGATGCGCGAGTATGGAGGTTCAATTTGAACCTTGGACTCTGTGATAGCAGCACTCTGCACTACCACACTTCCGCCAAGTGGCCGCTTTAATGAAAAAACCCCAAGAATTCTTTTGCGAGAGCAGGCGTACTGTACGTATTGAGAGTGAATGGATAAACATGCCACCGTGTAGCAGTGCACTTGTACGAGGGAATGAAATAAAGGAGAGGAACCCATATTGACCCTCCCTCAAAACGTAAATATTTTGAGTTGAACTCAGTCGGATTGGAGCGGAAGTTTATGAAAACCAGGCGCATTGAAAATAGCTAAAATGCCACCCGAGCAACTTATACGTGAATGACCGATGAGGATTATAGAGCACTGTAGGTCAGCATCGGTGACCAAGTAAAACCGCTGTTCTCAACGATGTGACCCAATCTGACGGGGGCGTACTAGCTGCTGCCACGTGATCCTCATCCAAGACTGACTTGCCGTTACATAGAGTAACTAGGTTGTTAAAGGTACAGTTCAAGATGAAAATGGTTCCGAGACTTCTTCCTAGGATGATAGCAAGGATATTACAAGGGACGCAATCGGTTCCACAAACAATTTGGATAGGGAGTAATAAGGGCCTCGAAAACAGCTTAACCGACATACACATCCGAAGGCGGACGAGTTCTCACGGCGCCATAGAGACTGTAAAGGGTGCACAGTTCTTAATAGGAAGCACACGTTGCAGCTTACTGAAGCCAGCTGTACGCAGCGGCGCACACATTTGGTCAGTTTAGCTATAGTGTTACATTTAAGAGGAATAAAAAATGTAAATTTGCCTAGCAGCTGTTAAGGGGGGGGGGGGNGGGGGGGGGGGGGGGGGGAATGGGGGACTTGCTTAGAGATGAAGATATGAAGGTAAATTTGAAAGAAATATGAACTTTCTCTCTGGGATATGGTAAGTGCCTTTGACGATATGTTACAACGAACTTGTCACCTTCGTGAGGGCTTTAGATGTACAGTAGTAGATTCCATAGTAACTGGATAGCTGCACCATCCACCATCTAGGTCTAAGCTCTTCATCCATTTTTCGGAGATCGTTGCATTGTGATAAGATTCACTGGAAGTGGGATCTTCTGATAGATTTATGTTAGTGTTTCTGCGTTACTCGATTCATGCCTTCTGCCTCGTCGCAAGAGCATGCTTGCGTGTGTTGAGAGTTTGTAGGTTTGGTTGGTACCCCGCACATCATCTAAGTCAAAAACTTCCTTCGAGTACCTGGAACTTCCTTGTAGGGATGATCCAGGGGTGCTCCTAACAATCATATTCGTCCAGGAAAGCCCGGCTGGCAGCTTGAATGGCACAGTTCACGGTAATCCTGGGGCATCCCGTTTTCAACGATTAATGAACTAACACTTGAGAATAACACAGAGGTATCAATGAGAACGTGAAAAACGGTGTATTTGACGAGATATAAATCTTTTAAAAAGTACAAGGCTTCATAAACCTTCAAAATCATGGGTTGGACGAGAATGTGACACAAAAGTTGCATGGATTGTGTATTCCGTGTCATTGCGAACACCCAAGTACAGCGAGACAAAAACGTTGTTTTCCAACCATGACTCTGGCATAGGGGGTTTTATTCTGCGTCACTCTCTTATTTACTGCCATTTACTCCAACACAACAGGTATTCAGAACAATATGGGTCAGGTGCAGCAGTAGTATGAGAGAGTAGTCTGAAATATAATAATAACTTACGCACGACATTCAGAGTAGTCCAAAGAATCGTGCTCGCTCGGAGAACACAGGAAACATTTATTCCATTCAGAGCTTTCGTGAAAGAGTCGTGAGGATTGACTTTTCACTACAGATACTCCAATGCGACGCTGGTGCCTGGCAATTAGATTTTATAGTTAACCTAATACGTGGTGTGGCATCCACACGATACAGTAGATGGCCCCGTCTTGCACCCTATCCGAGACGTTTTTCAACCTTTTAACCGCGGTTATGGTATAAGGGGAGGGCCTCGAATTCATCGTATTAGGAAATCTTAGCAATCGTATCATGGGGGGTTGTGGCTCTGAAGTTTACCCAGCTCCCCACGGCAGGGCCTGAAAGGCTTTTCGTAAGTACTCAGTCATATACCAGGAACAGCGTGGCACGGTGGGACAGCAATCGCAGCCTTAGGTGAAAGCATCACCTGTATCGCCTGTTGTCCCTTTGATCATCGATTCCCTCGAGCGGGCGCCCCTAACGTCTCCATGATACTGTCACGAGCCAGAGTAGTCCAGCGAATCGTACTCGCTCGAGAGACACAGAAAGCATTCTTTCCGTTCAGAGCTTTCGTGAAGAAGTCTGACCATCGCGTTGGGGACGGTAGTGGTGCTCGTTTGACGTCCCGAGGATCCAGTCAGTAGCCGCCCTGGTCTAACGGTCATGACGGTATCGAAAACGTTTTCGGCCAAGTGATCCTCCAACTTTTTGGGATAGTCAACGGCATCCCTGATCTCCGTTCGTTGACGATGCTTGGAACTCCGGATTTCCTTCTGCGCTTGCAGGATAAGGGAATTCCTAGCATCGCTCTTCCCACAGCGCGTTCAGTGACGCTAATTGCACGCTCATTCTGCTTGCGTGGAGTCGAAATCTTCAAGGTGCATGTCAAAGCAGGAAGGACTGCAGTGTCGACAACGTGAGCCGGGAGCCGGATATTCTGTGTCTTCTCCACTACTCCCTCAATGCTCTTGAATGCTCCCCACGCAGCGCATTCCTTCTGCTCAGCTCGGGTGCAGAGTCGTTCATAATATTGACTTCTCGGCCTACATATACATAGCTGAAGCACTCAGAAATGTTCGGCCAATCAGCGTGAAAGGAGCAACAGTTACCTATTCGTTTCTCAAGAATATCGACTTCGTCAGGTTCGATGTAAGCCGATCTTTCCACAAGCGCTGTCCAATTCGTTCCGCCTGCTCGATGATAGATGTTACAAGCACGAAGTCATATGCAAAGCGGAGATGATGTATACAAAATAGCGGCCGTTGCCCTTCACTCCCATATTTCCATGCTATATGATGCATGATGTTCTCGAGAGCTTGAGAGGTAAGCTTGGACGAGGTGGTATCGACTAATCTTTTCTATATGTTGAGTAGAAACATCCTACTTGACCGGACCTTCCATTACCCCTTCTGCTTTGCGATATCGAAGGCTTGAAGGATGAATGTAAGACATAACGGCATTTTGTACACTCGCGATGCTTCAATTAGTCTTGCAACTGTGGATGTGGGCGATAGGGATTGGACGATAATTGCCAACATCGTCGGGATCTCCCCTTCTATACAGCAACACAGTCTTTCTAGTTTTCCATGAAAATGGCACATTGCATTGCGACGGGTGAAGAGTGAAGAGCCGAGCCACAGTTTTGACAATGAGTGGCGGGAGATTCTTCAAATGTTTTGGTTCGATGCTATCGTCACCAGGCGCCGCGAAATTCCTCATCGACGTAATGGTATGTCGAATTTCGGAGGGTGGATCCAAAAAAGGCGATATATCCGTCCTGCTTAAGATGGTATGTAAGCAGATAGAGTAGTAGGGGGCAGTTGAAGAGTAGAACTCATGGATAGCCTCCCCCATTGCTCTTTGAGCTCTTCCAAGCCTCAGCAGCTCAGACCAAACCTGCTGCTCTCCTTTCTACAGATCTTCCTTCAGCACTGTTGTATGAAGTTCGATTCACCGACAAGTGATGAGTTGGTGCTGTATTTTTTTGTATTACTCCAGATTTGCCATCATTGCATAGAACATATCAGCCTTCCGTCAAGCTGTTTTGCCCACCGTTGCGCGTGCTGTAAAACCAATCGAATGACAATCAAACAGTTGTAGTTCAAAAGTTCTCCATCGATGCGCTTCATGGTCACATTGCTTGGAACCACTAAACATAAACTAAGATGATCACTATAGAACAATGCAGTACAGTGCAATCTTATCAAACTATGAAATTGGGAGAAACCAAAAGACAACTCGAAATTTTATGAAAATTTATGATGGTTGATAAATTCAAAAAAGGAGTTTATCGTTTACTGGAAGCAGTCAAAGCAAGCAGAAAAATAATTCGTGTGAGGTAATGACTCGAGCGACAAACTACAATAGTACAGCACATGAAATGCGCAATGCCTGGTGAGAAACCTTCGTTACCCACAAATTTTTTCCAGAGAAGAGTGAGATGTGAGAGAGAAAATGGATAAAATTAAGTCAACAATGACATCACGTCCATTTTGAACAAGTGGTGAATTCGCACATTGATTTTATAGTGCACAGTTAATTGTACCCTTACTCGTGTGAGACCTATGTACAAGTCTATTGTGGCTTGAAGCTAATAACCTCTAGCTAAGCCAACTTGGAGAAAGAATTGAGACGAAACACTTGCCGTCAGATTCGATTGAAGGCGAGAGCGCGTACGGTGATAATAAGAAAGCAGAAATGAACGGCGGTGAACGGATTATTGGAGATAAAACAAATGGCGACAGAACAAAAGGAGTTAAGGTGTTAGGGACTCCAATAAAGGGCGATAAGCAGAAAGGTGTTAGGACAAGCGGTACTAACGCTACCGGTGATACAATGAAAGGATTCAGAAGTAGAGGCGATAATACAAAAGGTAGAAGTGTCCCAGGACTCAGTACAAAAGGATCCAGGGCAAAAGGACTAAGAATTATCGGAGATAAAGCAGTGGGTGATATAACGGCAGGGAACAAAAGTCGCGGGGAAAGGATGATTGGAACGAACAACCATGGTGACAAAAGTACGACACCGAGAATAGCTGGTGAAAGTATTAGTGGCGTGAGCAATACCGGCGATAATATAATCGGAATGGATGCCCCCGCTGGATTCAAAATAATAGAACCGAGAACTATTGGGGCTAAGGTTATGGACTGTTTTCGCCTCTGTGTTTTGAATCGTACAGTTTCTGAGGCTAAACCACGGATTGTCTTTTCAATGATAGCAGGAACCTCCTCAGATCGAACTTTCGATAGCAGTCTAAGTGTCTCGCTGTCGTTGTGCGGTGATTCTGGACCGTACACCATTTCCAGCTGTTTCGCATTCATCACCGTGTAGCCAGTTGTATTCATTGCCATCAGCTGTAAATCATATATCACCGCAAACTGAATTCTATTACTGCACCCATTTCTTTGCATCCATTTCTGTACTTACCGAGGCCGTGTAGTAGCAAGTGGTGCACTATCACACGCGAAGTCACGTGTTCAAATCCAGTATCGACATCCTGATGGGCCAATCAACCTTTACATCACTAATTGGTACCAGACTCGTTTGGGAGGATAAAAGCACTGCTTTACACCGGCTGGCCGCCGAAGATCTTTGTATCCGCCTCAAACGCATCCAATACTACATTTCTGAATGGAAGCCAAATGCGGGCGCATCTCCCAGACGGGATTGGTTAACGGCCAAAGAATTTATCCTATCATTTATTCTTTGATATACAGGATGCACCATAAATATGGTAGCAACTTTAGAGAAGTCTTCAATTTCATTGGTTGAAGAGTTTTTCAGAATCTGCATCTTCTTTTATGTTTATGGTATTCCTCAGCTCACATGTCGGTTTTGGTGCTCTCATTTCGGCTGTTTTCAAAGAATGGTGAAGCCTCCCAGTCATCCAGCAGCCGTTCCGTCTCTCCGCGCATTTGAAGAGCTCACTTCCGGGATCTCTCGTCTTTTCGTCATTTCTCGCACGACAGTCTTCTATATTACAATGCATGGACAGGTGAACGACCAGCCCACAAACGGTCGTATTGTCCCGATTACGACCCCTTCTCCAAATGCAATTGTTTGGGAATGATTACGCTACAGAACGAAAAAAAAANAAAAAAAAACTGCGGAGTTTACTGTATGCTTTAATTCGAGGTGAAAAGTTTTTCACGAGTGAATACAATTGTATTCAGATAGGTTTCAAAGGCATTATAAGCTTCATGAGGAGAAAAAGTTCGGAAGGAAGCACAATGCCCATGCCCTACTTGTACGCAGCACGAGCTTCGACACACTTTTTTCTGAAGGTGCTCAGTGTGGAAGAAACTACAGGTCCCAGATTACACGTATGTTTCTCACTATAACTAGAGAGGAGATCGAGATAGGTCAGGTCCTTTCTCGTGTCCATTTTCCTCTTATTTGATGTTTTGAGCTGGAGGCTGTGCCATTAGAGCGAGATCGCTTATTTTGCTAGAAAAGGACGTCTAGAGAGGTCCATGGGTTTGATCGCCGTCGAGAGACGATCGTTCTATCGAGCAAGCAAGCCCGCTAGAAGGATTGTCGTGCTCAAATTGCTCATACGCGATGTGAGCACCTCATAACGCTGTTATCCAACAGGAAACATTGCATTGTCGAGACCGCCGTCAAATGACTGAACTTTCGTGTGCTTCCTGAGACATTACACGAAGCCAAATGATATAGATAGTGGTGTTAATGCCCTTTCAACAAAGATAATGGATAAGGCGGCAGTGTATCAAATGCGAGACTCCGCTAGTGTATTCCAGGCTAGGGGCTAAGACAGGCAGAGATCATTTTCAAGAATAAGCCGCCGCATTAGACCAATTTCCACCTTATTGCTTCTCTGATCAAACATCAGTAAAATAGTGCCTCGGTTCACAAAGCTAAAATCTTTCAAAATGCTGCTATCTCTGAGCTTCATTCGAACTTGTTTTTCATGTGTGTTTTCAAAGCTCTTGCTACTCCACTTTATTGGTTAGCGTTCGGCATATGATGCCTTCTTCAGATCTTAACTTTACAATACATAGTTGCAAACAATCAGTCAACAATCAGTTACTACATAGAACACATCATATCGTATCAAACCAACTGGAAATAGTGGGGAAGAGGGGAGTGGACCTACTAGCGGGGAACTTGAAAGAAAAATGGAACACCGCTCT